TGTTGCTAATCTCTCTTTTTGTTGCAGCGAACTCATTGCCCGCCGCGAGGAGCTCCTCCAGCAGTGCGCCACCAAGGATGTGGAAGTCGAAGTCCTTGCGGACTGTGCGGAGCTTGTGCGCCGTGGCCAGCTGCCCCAGTACCTGCTTGACACCCTGATGGCCACACTTGCCTGCCCACAACCAACACCTCCTTGCCCCCCCTGTGGACAACGATGTCCTGCTGCCCATTCCTGGGGTGAGCGATAAATAAACACACATTTTCTAAGTATTTATTGTTGCGAAAATGATTTTATTTTTAAAAGGGCCATTTATCATTTTATTAATTTAAAAAATCAAAATATATTAAGCTAGCTTCGTGCCTTCCTGTGATTGGGCACTCCTGCATATGAAAGTACGTGTGTAGTGAGCGTAAAAGTGGTGGCATGCTCGTACGCCCGCACGGTACGGCAAACGTAACTGCAACTCGCTCCGTCCCGGAAACCGTTTCGACCAGACAATACCAGCGCCGACCACGTCTCGGGCGACAGCATCTACCACGACCTGGTTGGTGCCTGGCATGATGCGCGCGTTCAACGAGATCTGGCGCATCATGGGTTCACCATGACCTGGCTCGACCAGAGCGGGAGTGTACACGCAGCCTCCAGTTTCGCATCTACGACCTCTACCCACTCGAAGGCATGCCTGCGCACGGCATCGAACACGTGCGGGCGGGGCCACCACCATCGCACCGCTGTCCTGCGTACTGTGTGGAACGACTACAGTGCACGTCGGGCAACTCGTACACGCTCAAGCTGGCCACGGCTGTGAGCTCGTTCATCGCGTGCTACGTGCTGGCCGTGGCCGACCGCCACCAGGACAACATGATGCTCGATGCCGCAGGCGCCTTCTTCTGAAGAATAATATTCAATACAGTCACAAGGTGGACGTGGTTGTCTTCCTTTTTCACTTGCGGCCAGACGATGATGAAGAGGACGAAGAGCTGCGTAGTTCCTTTTGGTTGCGCTTCTTGTGGAGCGAGGAGAGCATCTGGACGGTGAGGTCGATGTCGGGCCTGGCCTGGCGGAGCTGCGCGACGGCCGCGTCGGTGGTCTTATTGCAGCCCATCGTGAGCGCGCGCACCGACGTCGACTGAGCGATGGCGTCCAGCGCCTCGTTCTTGACGAAGCGGCAGCCGAACATGTTGAGGCGCTGGAGCGGCAGCTTGCGGAGAATGCGCAGCAGCGACGCGTTGTCGATGTTGTGGCAGTTGAACAGGTCGAGGTCGGTCAGGAACGGGCAGCCGTCGGCCAGTCGCACGATCTTGTGGATGCACAGGCAGTGCGACAGGTCGAGCGACGTGAGGAAGTGGCAGCCGTCGGCCAGGTGGTCCACGCCGCCGTCGGTCAGGCCGCTACAGCCCTTGGCCTTGAGGCCCTTGAGGTTGGTGCAGTTGCGGGCCAGGTGCCGGAACGAGAGGTCCATGATCTGCGTGTTGTGGGCCAGGTTGAGGTACTCGAGGTTGGGGCAGCCTTCGGAGATGAGCTTGACCACGCCATCGGTGATGAGGGACAGGTGGCCCAGCGACAGCGAGGTGAGGTTGGGGTACTGTAGGGTGGCCCGGCCCGCGGCCGACCCGCTGAGCCCGTAGGACGACGTCGACGGCGAGAGGAGCGCGAATGTCGACGTCGACGACGATGATGTCGGCGTTGGCGTCGTGGTGGCTGTCAACAGGGAGAAGGGCAGTGGGAGTGGCGGCGACGACGGGCGGGAGGTCATAGGCGAGCTCGAGATCGAGTGCGAGGGCGACGAATAGGGCGAGGCCGAGAGCGACGACGACGGGTTGTGCTGGTGCTGGTGGTGGAAGAGGAGATGCTGGGCGGCGGTGGACGACGACGGCGAGTAGGTGGGCGCACCTGCTGTCGACGATGTCGTTAACGTCGACGTCGACGGAATGAACCACGCGCGGATGGCCGCGTCGGTGATGCGCGAGCACTGGTCGAGATAGAGCGAGCGGAGGCCGGGGAGCGAAGGCAGGAGCCGCCGGACGACGCTGTCGGTGAGCGCCGAGCAGCCGCGCACGTCCAACACCTCGAGGTGCTGGCAATAGGTGAGGACGTGGCCCAGTCCGACAGCGGTCACGCGCTTGCACCGGGAGATGTCGAGGTAGCGCAGCCGCGCGCCGGCGTTGCGCAGCAGCGACTCGAGCCCGGCGTCGGTGACGTACATGTTGCCGGCGAGGCCGAGGCTCTCCAACTGGATGAACGGCGGCGAGGCCGACGACCCGGTCGAGGTCGACAGTCCGAACACGGTCGAGGAGAGTGATGGCGACGAGATGGACGAGCGCAGCTGCGAGCCTCCGCTGCCACCCAGAGAGTGGTGGAGCGCGGTCGGTACCGAGGCCGAGCTGCGGAGCGCGCTGTTGCGGATGTGATGATCGTAGCGGCCGGACGACTGCGGAGAGAGGTCGTAGGAGAACACGTTCTCTTCGAATTCGATGTACTCGACCTTGCCTTCTTCGTCTTCGCTCTCTTCGGTGTTGGCCACGGGCCGGAAGCCGTCGCTTTTATGTCCGGCGGCGGCCGCGGTCTTTTCCTTTTCGTCGTCTTCGTTCTTTCGCGGGGAGAGGCTGTCACTCTTCGTTCTTCGGACGCGGTGGCCGAGCTGCCGAAGAGACTCGTCGGAGATCGTGCTCTGGTGGAACTGCTCGGTCTGGTCGCCGGCGTCGCCGACGATCAGCTTATCCGCATTCCTCGAATTGTGGAGGCTGCGGTGGTGCTGGTCCCGACCGACGGCTTGGGTGTGCTTCCACGGCTTGAATCGCCCGTAGCACAGCCGCAGGTGCCTCAGGTTGAAGCAGTTCGCCAGCATCGTCACCACATCGTCGTTGATATATGGAATGTGAGATATGTCCAGGCTCTCCAGTGTCTGTGTCGTTATGTAGATGGCGAGTTAGAAGCATAGAAAAATGACTGCGCCAAGATAGACCATAGTACCTCAGCATATGTGGGAATGAAGGCGATCAGTGCCTCCTTGGTGAGCCGCGTACAGCCGGCCGCAGCAAAACTGGACAGCTCCGGGCATCCCTGCGTCGGCCAAGCGCCGAGGGCGAAAAGTGGAGTGAGTATCATAGAAGACCACTGGTTCGCAGGCGCAGAGGTAGTTGTACCGCGGCCAGGTACTCGAGCGAGCTGGCGGTAAGCCTCTCGCAATAGCTGATATCCAGTTCCTCCAACGCGTGGCAATCCTCACTGTCGGGCCGCCCCACAAGAATGTCCGAGAATTGTTTAATGGGAATGCTCTCGGCGCAAGGCACACGGCACACGACACACGGCACACGACACGACACACGACACGCGACGCACGACGCACGACGCACGACACAACGGGCTGTACCTTACGAAGCGCATGGCGGCGTCGGTGATGTTGACACAGGCCGAGAGATCGAGCGTGACCAGGTTGGTACAGTGCTTCGCCAGGTGCCTGATCGCCCTGTCGTCGATCTGCGGACATTTCCTGCAGTCGTGGGGCGAACACAACACAGCAGTGAGCGAGGGCGCGGGGAAGAGGCGACTACAATTAAGTCTTCGGGGGTGTACCCGAGCTGGAGGCGAAGGAGGGAGGTGCCGGCCATCTGGGCGACGCGCTCGAGGGTGCGGGCGGAGACCTGGCATTCGCTGAGCCGCAGCACCTCGAGCCGAGGAATGTGAGGCACGACCTTGTACAGGAATTCCTCCTTGCCCACCAGCTCCCGCTTGTAACACCACTCCTGACAAGACGACGGCCAATGAGCATTGTGGTGAGCGAACTGGAATTTGAAAGGTATGGGGCGGGAGACCGTACCCCG